CCAATATCAGTGTCACCTGTCCATTCATGTGGCCTTGATTCCCTCCACCCTCTACTCACATCACACCAGTCTACCTTTATCCAGAACCTACCACCAGGATTCTCCTTTGCAATGGTGTCCAACATAGCATCATGTATGACAGAAGATTTCTCAAAATCCATCTTTTGAATCTTATTTGCAAAGTAATCTTATTTACTTATAGAATGAAATGGCAATACTCTTACAGGAACTGCAAATGGATTTATATCTCTTTTCACTGGAAACCATAAAAATTAATAGATGAGTAGCTACTTCTCTGTGCTTCAAGAAAATATTTTTGAGGTAGGAAGGTTGTTCATCACAGAGTTTTGCCAGCTGATGAGGGATATTACTGTGCCCTGTTTCAGATTCAGCCAAAAATCCATGAACAGTGTTTGTCTTTTCTTCAAATTCTTGTTCATTTCAATCAACTGCTTGAAACCTTCAACATCCCAAGCAAGAGCATCTAATTTGGAGGAAGCAAGAGCAACAATGATTCTTTGGAGAATCTTACTTTATCTATCATCTCATTAAAATTTCTCCTCTTATCGTATAAATCATTTAACCTTTTAAATGCATTTTCACCAATATCAGTGTCACCTGTCCATTCATGTGGCATTGATTCCCTCCACCCTCTACTCACATCACACCAATCTGCCTTTATCCAGAACCTACCACCAGGATTCTCCTTTGCAATTTTGTCCAACATAGCATCATGTATGATAGAAGATTTCTCAAAATCCATCTTTTGAATCTTATTTTGCAAAGTACGACAACTTAAACATGGAACATTTACTTTGGCTTTCATTGTATCAAAAATGTATGGATTTTTTGTTGCTGATGATGATGACTTACATTCTTTTCCAAGGCCATACTTATTTGCAATCACATGCTGACATTCATTTCCCATTGATCTTTCATGTCTGACAACAGAATCAGGAAGTGGGGATCATAATGTTGAGCTTGTGGTATCACTAACAGTTAAGATATCAGCATCTGCTCCATGAAGGCAAGATAAACTACTCATCTTGAGTGCCGTTGCAAGTATGGCACCATCTTCTGGAGTTCCTTGTGAACCTTGAACTGCATTTGAAAAGTCACTTAAATCAAATACTGGATCTGGAGAAAGCACATCAACACATCCAGAGACAGAATTCATTGACCCCACATCTAAATCATCTTCAATTTCGTATTCCCAACATGGGCCTCGATGCAAACATGCCCATTTTGTTCTAAAATTTGCATACATGCTCACCCGCCACTGCTAATAATCCTCTTCACAAGATAATCGATTGGACTTGGGCAAGGAGAAAAATTTAACTATGTAGTCAAAAAGACCAAAAGGCATCTTTCCAATTGGAAGACGGGTTTCCTTTCCATTGTCTCGTTTTAAAAAACACCTTGCAGCGTGATGAATAAGATTTTCTTTACCTTTTTCATGAAGATTGATAACAGCCGACATATAAGTTGAAAGGCAGTCATCAGAAAATTTACGTAAGATATTCTTATCTGTAGATAGATTTCTTGCATACTTAAGAAATAAACTATTAAGCAACTTCAACTGCAAATATACTGGCAAATTACCAAAGCCACTTAAACAGCTATCAAAAAAAGAATTATTACTAGTATCAATATTATTTATACTGGTAGTTAATTGCAAAGGGGGTGAAGATTCACAAAGGTTGTCAGGAGAGGGATTTCCAGAAAAGTAATCAATATTAAAGTACTCCTCTGCCTCCTCAATGTTTTTAAAATTAGTGGCAAGATACGATGTAACTTTAGATTTCATTGATGAATGAGATGGCTTATCCTTTTTTGTCATTTTTGCAAAATATTCTTCACATGCTCCCCAAAAATTCGAATTTCTATGTTTGAACAGCCTGATTCATTCATACTTCTTTCTGCATGAATTCCACAAGATGATAAATCTCCTCCCTCGACCATGAATACTTTGGTCCCATTTTTTTTCAGAGATTCAACAAAGAGTTCGTTACTGATAGAACTCACAGCACTTACTTTTTTGGCATTGGATTTTCCAGGGGTATCACCTTCTGGAACAATACCTTGTTTCTGCATTTTGATATCATTGAAAGAGAATTTTGCCATTTATTAGAAAATTGCATGTTATTTAAGAAATTTCTACTTAGAATGTCAATAAAGAATGCCTCCATCAAAAAGGCAGTGTAAAAATAAAGAAATGCAGTGTCAAAAATGTACATTTTTCAAAGGATGCAGAAAATGCACGTCAGATTTTCATTAACTAAGACAGACATTTCTTGTCTTGCATTTAACTAGCAGTGAGTACACTTTTCCCTACTTTATGAGACAGCTTTAGTCTAAATTTCATCATCATTTAACACTCACTCAATATAAGGTCGTTAAAGAATGCAACACACATTTAGACATACATTGTACACAGAGATATGTTTCAATGGCGAGATACTGCGAAAACCCACCGAAACTGACAGTTTTCCTGCAGTTTTGCAGGAGCTAACAGTGGCGAAGCTAGAGGTCATGCAGGTCATGCTAAGCAAGACTAAAGATATTCAAGAATATGTTTTTTTACATAGAATTTATAAGAACGAAATAAAAAAATTCAAGATAAAACACTCCTTACATGGAAAATAATTGCAATTGGCTCCTCTGTGTAGTATTATTTGACACTGGAGGGTGCAAACATAGGGTTTCTATACTTCTAGTTTGAGTATAGTCCAATTTAGTCAATCAAATATCACAGGGATCTAGTACCAGTTTAAACAAGGGAAACCATAGGGAGCTTTTGAAGCTTATGGCTAAGTTTGATTCTGTTTTTGAATGACGTTCTCGTGAGTTATTAGAAGAATTCAGAATGAGGAAGTGTAGGGGATGGAGCTTTTACTGGTGTCCCAGCAGATATCCAGAATGATCTAATTGAATGTACTGCTTCAGTAATTCAGGATCAAATTGATAAAGATATTGCTGAATGTAATTTTCTAAGTATTCAGGTAGATGAAACTACAGACATTTCAACCAAAGAGCAGTTGAGTGACATTGTTCATCTTGAAAGAAATGGTGAAGTGGTGGAGAAATTTTTGAAGTTCTTTAATGTAAGCTCGAACAGATCAACTTCAGTTCTAACTGCAGTTGTGAAAC